CCTGTATAGAATTTCTGAGGCATGAACGACTGGTGGATTTGAACCACTGACCTTGTTCTTAGCAGTCCAGTGCTTCTTCTACAATGCCACACCAGGATTGCTAGTGAAGTACAGGGTGAGCGAAAAACAAGGCAACCCTTTGTGATGTGACATAATAAGATAATCGGCTCACACCGACCAACAGTCATGAAGATGGTACAGGCTGGGACATTGTTTTGTTATATGTAAAGTCACCATGAGCAGGAACTAACTCAATGGCAATTAACATTAGCTCTTTGCATGAAGGACAAAACAGTGACCCAGGGGTTCTGTGTCTCTCCTGAATTTGAAAATCTCTTCCCTCTGTCGGACGTATCTACATACAGAATGTAGTACCTTAGAATGCCAGTCTTCTGTCTCTGCCACTGGTTCTGTTAGTGGAGAAAGAGAGTCAAGGATGCCAATGTGGTTATGATCTTTGGTTTTTCTTATCTGATCTGTTAGCACAAATAATTGTGATCACAATAGTGATGCCAGAGAATTACCAGGTGGTGCAGTGGGTTAGGTGTCTGGGCTGCTAACCACAAGGACAGAAGTTCAAATGTACCAGCATCTCCTCGGGAGACAGGTGAGGCTGTCTGTTCCTGTAATGATTTACCGTATCAGAGACCTTATGTTGTCTGCTATGAGTTGGAATTGACAATGCCTGTGGTTTGGGGTTTAATGTAAAGACTGCGAAATCCAGCTCAGAAAACCTACATCTTGTCCCATATTTGATATTAACCTCCTGGCTGATCTTATAAAAGCTTATTTCAACTCTCTGAGAATCAGTTCACCTTTTGTTAAGGAGGGATCTTGGCAGCTCAGAACTGGAAGTTTGTTCCAGCTGTAAAAATTAACGGTCACTTCCATTTTTATAAACTATCACTTGATTTAGAATCCTTACGGTAGGTAATAAGTTTTGTTGGTGTGAAGCTGTAACACACTAGACCTCAAGGTCAGTTTAAATGATGAGGTTGGCAGCTCCTTGGAAACCCTACACAGGGTCGCTATGAGTTGGAATGGACTCAACAGCACTCAACAACAACAACAACAAACAGAGATACGGGAAAGTTCCGATTTGTCATGTCTATTTTCCTCTGCACTAGGTAGAGCTCTGGTAGTGTAATGGTTACGAATCGGGCTGCGAACCTTAAGGTCAGCGGTTCGAAACTACCAGCCGCTCCGCGGGAGAAAGATGAGGCTCTCTACTCCCGTAAAGATTTACACCCTCGGAAACCCTGTACAGGGTCGCTATGGGTCGGAACCGACTCGACGGCACTTAACAACAACAACAAAGGTAGTTTATGGAAAGATATGTCAAAATAAGGAAAGCAAAAACCAGATTTCAACAAGAAATGAATGCTTGTACTTTTGTGTTTACAGACTTTTATAATAACAAAGTGGGAACACTATGGCTGTGTGGGATAAACATGGGACTGAGAACCACAAGTTTGGTGGTTTGAACCCACCAGCTGCTCCATGGGAAAGATGAGGTTTTCAGCTCCCTCAAAAATTTTAAAGCCACAGAAACCCTATACGGGGTGACTGTGAGTCAGAATCGACTTGACAGCAGTTTACAACAACAGCATAGTAACAAAGTATCCTGGATAAATTCAACTATAATATATATATATTTTTCTTATGCTTACTTTTCTGGGTGTATCCGTATTCTAGCTAGTACAGGGCCACTGCTTGCTTGGGGTGGAGGTAGGGAAACTTTAAAAAGAAAAATCTGTGAATTAAGGCTTTGAGCCTGCAGATGGTGCTATAATCTCATTGAGAAATTCAGCTTTGCTTTCTAGTTTAAATTCATAGGGGAAAAAGATGCAGTTCTTGAACTTAGTTTAAAAAGCCTATAAAATTGATTTATTTTTATTTTCATATCTTATTATTACCATGGGAGAAAATGTCTTTACTATTGGAAAACATCTACTCTACGTTGTACTCTTGGTAAATACTAAGTAATTTGTAGATTCAATAATCAACATTTACGTCTTTTTTTCTGCTTATCATTCAGCATTGGTTTGTCAGAGACTCTTAATCAGTTTACTTTGCTGATGCTGTTCTGCCATAAAACAGCCTCACTGAGAATTGAGTGACGAAGAGCTAAGGATAAAAAAAAAATTCCGTATGACAAACATTTCAACTTCCAGTTTGTAGTAATCAGGTAAAAAAAGATTTCCTGGATGTAAGCCACAGGAACTCTGGTCTAAGTCAGACCTGTCAACTGGGAAACAAATTTCCAGACATTTTGCAATTTAATTCGTTTAATTTTTCTTGTAAGTGGATTAGAAACTATGATTAAGAATAGCAGGATATTCTTTTACTGGATGAGCCTGACTTTGAACAAAGCAAATAGATACTCAAAGCATGAAGAAGAAAGAAAGAGCTCTTACAGCTTTTCTCTCTTGAGGAATTTTCACATTAGAATGTAAAAGAATAGATAAATTGGATGTTTAAAAAAAATAAAAGAAAAGAAGGAGAAGGGAAGAAAACATTCTACTTTGTTCATGAGATTGTATATATAGCTGCATTTTTACCTTAAACTCTGAATCTATGCTAGGGTCTTTTAAGTTGATATCCCACACATAAAAATTAAGTCTTTTTCAAAATTGTTTATAAATGCTTATTCTTTGAAAAGTGTTTGAATTGGAAATATTTGAAATTGGCTTGGGAGGAAAGGAGAAAGGTACTATAATTCTATATATGCATAGACTTGTAAACAGATGAATTTAACTTTAAAAAAGGGACGAAATACATGAATCGCTTGAGGCATATGTTCTGTTAACAACTGGGATTATATGAGTGACTTGAAATAGCATATGTGAAAGTACACTGAAAATGAAAGCATTTTGTATCATTAGAACGACTCTGTGAGACAGCAGACACCAGTGTGTATATTACACGATAGTACAGCCTTTCGGAAACTTTCATCGTGGAGTTAGTTTCATCATAATGGAAAGATATTCATAGGAAGACTGAAAATTGTATCTAGATGCTTTAAAATTTGGGATAGATCTCAAAGAAGACAGTATCGGGATCTACATGAATAGTGTAAAAAGAATAAAGCATTTGGAGAATTAAAGCTAAGTAACAAAGGAGCACTCGATATTTGCAAACACACAGGAGTATAGAGGCTTGTTGCTTTCTGAATTTGTTGTTACATATGAAATCCTTATTTTCTGAAGGAACCTCAGTGGCCCTGGCTTCAACACTGTAATCATTCTCTTATTTCATTCGTGCTAAATTAGAGATTAAAATATGTCTCATTGAGCTGTTTAAAGGACAGCAAATTTTGTGTAAACAAAAGTAAATTTCCTCCTGATATCTTACATCTTGAAGTTACTCACTATAAATTTATATAAGTAAGACGTAATGACAATTAAAACATAACTTGAAGCCCTATTCATCTCATGGGAGTACTACTATGACGTCTTTCTGAAAGCTATGTGATTGCTCAATCCTAAGTAGAAGCCCTATAAAAAGAGGAGCTTTGAAAGGCTGGTCAGAGGAGAGTGAAGAGCAGAGCTGGCAAGACCTAAGCCAACCCTTGGCCGGTGCAAGTTCTGGTTTAGCTCTAAAGGCAGAGAACAGTAAAAGCTGTTCCTGATCTCACAGGACCTCAACGCCTGAAGACAGCTCCATACTTTCCTTCAGAATAAAAAGCTCTCAGGGAGCATTATTTTGCAAAGTAAGTGAAAACTTTATTTTCCTTCCCTGTCTTCCTCCCTCCCTCCCTTCCTCCTTGTTTCTTTTCTTACTCTCTTTTATTTTCCTCCTGCCTCTGGATTTGTCTCAGGATGTATTGACTTTTTCTCTCTTGAAAAGAATTGTATAATGCTCTCCCTTTGCAATAGTAGCAAAATGACAAGTTTCTCAAGTCACCTGGTAAGTATAGAAATGTCTCAACTTCTCTCACATGATGAATTTTCTGAATTCTTTTTGTTGAGATGGTGCTTTATCCTGCTTATGCTTTTACTGAACACTGATATTTAAAAAACTGCGTTCAACTGGCTTACATTGGGTTGCATATAGAGATTTGACAGAATGATTTATTGGGTATATTGGTTTGGGAAGTTTTCAACCTACTTTTCAAAGTGTGCTTTATACGTCCTGTGTTGGTTGACTAAGGGAGCCTATGAAACATTTGTTTTCTCCTCACTTTAAATTCAAATGTTATGATCTTTACAAACAGCAAAAAAAAAAAAAAAAAAAAAAAATTGCCCTCAAACTCCTAAACTTCTTTCTAGAAACTATTTAGGAATAAAATGTGTACAGGGTTTAAACATAAAAGACAACAACAAATAGGCATAAGGTTTGTTTTTTTAAGATTTTTGTTGTTGTTGTTTATGGCAAAACTTCTTTCAATGATAGTGATTAGTTTTTAAAAATTAGTGTTCACTATTAAGCTGTTCAAACACAGGCAGCAAAGAAATTCCAATCATATCTATAATTGGGAGAGGAGAAAAAGAATGTGTATGCAGAATATTTTTGTATAGGTATGTGTATATACATACATAAATCAATATTTAGCATTTAGCAGAGTAGAAAAATAAACAAATGATACCCCTTATTATTCAGATATGAAAGGCATAAAAATAGGGAAAATGATCAGTTTCTTGAAGCTGTTTTCCTAGTCACACTGAACCTGGCTGCTACAAGTTCATTATGAGAAGATTGTCCCCAAGGTAATTTCTAGCAATGCAAAATTACAATATAAAATTCAATATACTTGGGCCAGTTGTGTGCCTGGTGAGACACAGACAGCAAATAAAACTACCCTAATTTTTATTCAAGTACTCACCACTGAAAATGTTTTTGATTTAAATGATGACCATATTGTTGTTAACTCTTTCTATGAGATAGACATTACTTTCTTCAAGGGACTGGGGAATTATGGCTAGACATTCCGAATCGCCTGGCTGGTGGTACTTGGGGTAGATAAGCTGATGTGACTCTTTCCCTCTAAAGGCCCAGAGATGGAAACCACAACTAAGCCCCAACTCCTGGTGTTCCTGACTCTTTGCGGCATCCTCTTCTCGCACACCTTGGCATGGCCTCTTTTCGGAGCACTCCCATCTCCAAGGTGAGTTCGCTTGCAATTCAAACAGTTGGACATGCCTTCTTCATCTAAATGGGATTTCTGGTCTCTCATTTTTGACAACTCTATATTTTACATGATGGTTATGAATCGGGCTGCTAACCTCAAGATCATAGCTCAAAAGTACCAGCTGTTCCTTGGGAGAAAGATGAGGTTTACTGCTCCAGTAAAGATTTATAACCTGGAAACCCTGTGCAGGGTTACTATGGGCCAGGACCCACTCCATGGCACACTACCACTGTTTATTTACAGTTCTTGGTTTATGTGTTGAGCAAGTGTTGTCAGCACCAGGTCAACTGAACTGGATTATTCCAAGTCCTGGAATTCACTTCCAGAAATTGGATACAATGCCAGCAATTTTTCTATGGAAGGGTGGATCCCATTTCCATACAAGGTCTGTGTGTGGGGGTGGGGGTGGGGGAGTGTTCACTTCCCTTTCATCCAAAACCAGTTTTAAATAAGTAGTAAGCTTTGACCCATTGCCATATCAGCTCAGTTCAGTTTCTGAGTTGATAATCTCATAGTTCTTTTTCAAAACCAATCAATAAAATATAAATAATCATGACACGAACATGTTATTAGGGAAACATGTCTAAAATCATGGTAGACAGAATCAATTTGCCAATATTAAAAATTGTGGGATAATTGATACACTAAGACAAGTTTCCCCAGTAAGTAAATTATAATGATTTGGCTTTAACCATCAATCTCTGGTTTCACTGACCTGTATGTTGCATTGCAGATTTCAAATTCACAAAGTATAGCACCATTCACACTTGAAACTTTATCTGAAATAAAATACATTTCTGCAAGAGAAGCAAACTTTAGCCTAAAATGAAAACTCCATTACTTTGGCTTTAACTTCTAGTTTACAGGCACCACTGTACCTAAGAGGAAAATAATCACGTATTATTGGCCTATTCCTGATTCTCTGTTGAAGCTAGACTTACGTTTATTTGAGGGAATAACCTCTTAGGTGTTAGTGCTCTCTGTAAAACCAGCTTAAAGCTACTTGTTATGTTGCTGTGATAACGAAATACAATGGTTCTAGCTAAAGGGTTATATGTATCACAATGGATGAGCAATCACAGAAATGCTAAAAATTTGTATTGTGATTGATCACCAGCTACTACCGACTGTGATTGATCACCAGCTACTACATTACCCAAAGATACACAAGTGCCCAGAGGCTGACACACTCATGGGAAATTTACCCTAATGGTTTAAACATACATGCATAGACACACATACACACATGATTTTAAATAGTGTGCTGGTGTTCAAATGTGCATGCATTCACAAACATAGTCATATTCCCTATGTAGACATGTGTGTTCTTAGTCTTCTAGCATAGCATCATACATTCCTTATTAAAATGTTGCTAATACATAAGACAAGAAAACAAAAGGTCCCACAAAAATTACTGCACTTGAGAAACTATGCATAGATGGATGGATTCTTTTGACTCAATCAACAAAGTGAAACATAGTCAGACAAGATGAAGCTCAAAAGTAAAGCTGAGGGAACTAGACAGAGAATAACAGCTCATGTTCAGCTCTTGATATTTGGAACAAATGATACTATACACATCAACATAATCACAAAGTCCTTCAATTTTGAAATTTGAGTATGAAACAAAATTCCAAGATGGCATTTTGCATAAAAATTTTCTACCACTAAAATCTTTGAATGCAAAATGAAGATAATTGCAAAGGACGTGTACTTTGCTGCCCAACAGTCAGATAGGACTGAACAAAGTAGCTCTCATATTTGGTACACCCATCTAGTACAAGTTGTCTGACTTCTCTATTACAGGATAATCAAAATTTTCTTTACTTGTATTCTTATATACCACAGACACCATTAAGTTCAATTACACTATCCATATAGTGTGAATGAGTGCTACTTCCCAAGATTTGGGGTTTCTTATTTCAAATTGTTATAAAACCTCAAGCACTGCCATCTGAGAGAGGGATGTATTATACTTATGGTCTGTTTTTCCCTAGTAGGTTGGGTGATATAATATCATCTGAAGGGGAAAGTGACCCTGATCAAGTTTCAGTAAAGGCAGACACTGACCTACTGCAGAATGTGTTAGCTGAAAATGACACACCCTATTACGATGTATACAGGTAAGTTTATTGAGTTTTATTTTAGAAATATAAGTGTTTTTGTTTTGTCTCATAATTTCTATGGCATAATTCTATAAGCTTCCGTGTGCCTTGGCTTCATGCAACCTAATTGACTGCCGTTCCAGGGACTCACAGTGATTTTTATGTAGCAAGGTTGTAGCCAGCCAGAATGAGCAAACATTATTCTGTTGTATAGAATTTCAACACCACAGATTGTTCCAACCCTGGAAAAGCTACAGCAATTAGGATTCTATAATGGAGTAGGTTTTGATGCAGGAATTTCATCTCAATATAGAGAAAAGGTATCCAATAGTTAGAGCTGTTCATTCCTGGACCCAATTGTGTGGAACATTATTCACAAACAGAGTGGCTCATGGCCACAGATGCAAAGGTTCCTCACTTGGATAAAAAGGTTAGACAGTAGTCCCTAAAATACTCTCTAACTTACAAGACTTTCTTTCCATACATCTTGACAAAAGAACTGGCAAAAAATGTCAGGATAGTTTCCTCTTGCACATATTTTTTATTCAGGATAGGAAACATTAAACACCATAAATAACTATAGCAATTGATAAGGTATTTTTCACATCTTCAAGAAGCAATTGTTTTAAGAAGTCTACTAATGAGTGTTATTTAATATTGAGATGATGTTGTAGTTAAGTGCCATTGAGTCAGTTCTGACCTTTAGTGGCCCTGTTTCTGAGGCTGTAAATCTTTGTGGAAACAGAGCCTTGGTTTCTCTTTCAGAGGGGCTGTGGGTTCATACCACCTACCTTGATATATATTTCCTTAAAAAAGTGAATTCTTCAAATTCTTAGGTTGGAAATATAGACTATATAGAAGATATAAATGTCAAGAAAATCTCTTTTGTTAGATTGTTGGGAAACATTTTGAATTGAGAAGAAACTTTCTTTGTGATTACTAAACCAAAATTCTATTTTAGAAAACCATTCACAAAATAATAACTATCCTTTCTTCTTTGTTCTAGAAATACCAGACATGCTGATGGAGTTTTCACCAGTGACTATAGTAGACTTTTGGGTCAACTTTCTGCCAAAAAATACCTTGAGTCTCTTATTGGGAAACGAGTTAGGTAAAGAAAACATCATCTTTATCAAAGGCATTATTATAGTCTCACTTAATCTGCAAATTCTTATTGTCATTATAAGCAATTATTGCTCAGAATTGATAACATTTGCTTTAATGAACCAAAAGTAATTTATATTCATAAATCAAATAGACCAGGCCCATGGATTAAGAAAATTAGACTTTCTAATAATGCCCTGTCATACTGATTCCAGATACAGTTTTGTTAAATAGCAATCATTTACAAATCTGCCATCAAATTGAACTAGATGCATTAAAATAATAAATAAAACAGGAAAAACTGAAGCAAATTTTAAGGTCAATTGTTTTTATTTGTTGTTGTTATGAGGTGTTTCCAGATTAGGATTTGTTTTCTACTTTCTGCTCAAGGCAAGCACGAGGTGGGGAGTGGCTCTTTCTTAAAATGGCCAATAACTTAATAATCAGATGGTATTAATCAGAGAGACAGAACTTCTTAAGAAGTATTTACCTTCAAGGAACGTTTACTCCTCATGAAAGAACACGACGTCAAGTGTCCCCCAGTTTGTCTTCCTTTTTTTTGGATAAATCATTTGTTCAGTCAGTGGAGAATGTGTCTTAAGGCAGTTCTAGTAAATGCTAAAACTTATCGGACAATTCCTTGTTCCTCTAGCCTTAATCTCCTCTCACTTTTTTATGATCAAATAATGAATTGGGTTGGAATTCCTTTTTATATATCCCCACATACACACACACAATTTGGAACATTGACACATTTACCATTCCTTGTTAAAATTCTTTGATTTTCTTTTGTCACATATCTTAGCAATGATATCTCAGAAGACAATGCACCGATCAAGCGTCACTCTGATGCAGTGTTCACTAATAACTACACCCGCCTAAGAAAGCAGATGGCTGCAAAGAAGTATCTGAACTCCATTCTGAATGGGAAGAGGAGGTAAAAGAAAAAGAAGAACTTGCTAAAATGATACATGGCTCTGAAAATACAAGGCCCACATAGACACTTGTCATCCTACTTTGGGGTTTACAAGTGCCCATATGCTATGGGAAGCAGTAATTCTTAGCCTTGACTCACTCTAGAAAACTCTATTGTTGTTGTTATGTGCCGTGGAGTTGATTCCAACCCATACCAACCCTATACAGGGTTTCTGAGGCTGTAAATCTTTATAGGAGCAGAAAGCCCCATCTTTCTCCCCAGTTTCAAACTGCTGACATTGTGGTTCACAGCCCGATTCGTAACCACTACTCTACCAGAGCTCCTGCTACACACACACACACACACACACACACACACATATATATATATGTTGTTGTTGACAGTATATGTGACACTTCCTGCATGTCCCATTCAGTGACATTGATGGCGTTCTTCCAGCTGCTCCACCATTCTCACTCTCCTCACCCTAATTGTTTCTCGCCCTTTAACAGAAACCCACTGACCTCTAAGGTTCCTATGTAGTTGTTCAAGTTGCTATTAATCGTTTCTTTGGAAGCTTTCTCATTTAAGAAGCATAACATATGCAATATTCTTGTTCTGGTCTCCAGCAGTGCGAAAACATCCAGAGTTTTTCCTGAAGAGTTAGAGAAATGATGAAAGCATTCTTTGAAGCAAAGCTGCTGACAGCTTCCAAGTGGTGGGTACATTGCACATTGTGATAGTGTTTTCATAACAACCACCTCAACCTGGAAGTGGTTAAGAGTCATTTGGCAGGAAGCATCTTAAGGCTGAGTGATATCTCACAATGAGTCATGACCTACAAAGAACACTTCTACCTGAAGTGAGCTGCAACTCAGTTAAGAACTTAAATTTGCTCAGGTATGGCTCTTCTGATTATATGGGAAAGAACGGGGCCAGAGAGCAAACAGGTTGGTATCTGAACGGTTCTCTGGGTGACTCAAACATCTTCCTAGTCTTGTGTTGAGACATAAAGCAGAGGAGCCTGACTCACACTAATGAGAGAAATTAGACTTCTATTTGAGAAGCAAGCATGCTGTTTTTATTAATTTAGGGTATCGTCCTACAATTGATTGTTATCACCTCATTTAACTGAAGTGCAGGGAAGATGGCAATAAATACAGCATGACTCCCTAGTATGAAAATACCACGGCACTCAGGATCTAATTGTATGCCTCAAAACATAGCAAACCTCTGGCAGCAAAAGTCAAATTTGGCTTATTTTATCTGTGGTGATTGGAAGAAGTGAGACCTCATAGTTATAGTTACGTGTCATCAAGTTGGTTCTGGTGTCACTATGAGTCTGACCAAGTCAATGGCCCACAACCACCATGACCATCAAAATAGAAAAGGAAATGAATCACTCTTTCTTTTCTAAGTTATAAATGTATTCATTCATTTGTAACCTCTGGATATTTTCCTCTTCTTTTTTGAGGAAGGCTTTTAGACAGGTTTTAGACAGGTTTTTTTGGTGGTGTTGTTTTTTTGAACAGGAAATTCCAAATGGATAATTATTAATCACCAATGAGTTAGCGCTCACCTTTCCTAACCATCAGTCCTTTGCAAGCAACCTATTGACAACACAGGTGGTAATTCTCTGTTGTAAATAATGCCAAGGGGTACAAAGAAGTTTACCAAATGAGTCAATGAGTAATGATACTAAGATTCTGTAAATAAATATTTTGATGCTTAATATACTGATTCTTTTCTTTTTCAGAATTCTTGAAGGAAAATGATAAAGTAATTATATTTTGAGTTCTACATAAATATTCAAGAAAACAACTTCAATATCAGAACCAAATATTGTGTTGTGAATGTTGTGATTTATTTTATCCTACTGTAATAATAATTGTGATGTTTACAATGTAAATATTATTTTAGAGTTCTAAAATTGTCTTTAACTCATCAAAATCATGTAATTTAACATGCTGTGTACCCTTTCTAACAAAACTATATTTAGTGATCAGTAGACACTAGGTTAATTCCAACTATGTGAGGCTCTTTGGAAGGGTAGTAAAAGAGCAAAATTGATGTGTTTATTTATAGAGTGTACTTATCCATTCAAAAGAGTAGAGCAATTAATCAGTGTGTCTAAATTTGAATGTTAAGCAGATAGAATACTCTGCTAAATAAACCTCAAAATGTCTAAGAGAATGAATACTAACAGCAATGATAAAAAGACATTCTTAAAAAAATTTGTTTTCAAAAAATTTGCTTTTCCACATTTGTAGGTAATCTTTATTTTTGAATGGGATTATAAATCTCTCAAATTTGGATCTCAAATTGTCAAAGCCTGTCTTCTAATCTAGTATTTTAGTTAAAGAGAACGGCCCTCCTTCGGGTATAGGAACCTCCCCTTTATGTGTTAAGTGTGTGTAAAATGGAAACTGAATGGAACTCGTTTTTCAGTAATACATACTTCTTTTTTCCATAATCACTCAGAATACACCTATGATCCTATCAGCTTCCTAACCATGACATTACATTTGGAGACACACTATTTTTTCAAAATGATTGTAAGAAACTATAGAAAATAAAGGCATTTGATTATCATTGCAGATACTTTGTATTGTTTTGATTTTAAAAAGAGGATTCAGCAATAACTGTTTAGCTCTTAATTTTGTGTGGTGTGTGAGGCAGTGTTATAGATGACTGTGTGCTGTTGTGTGTCGTTTGGTTGGTTCAGACTTACTTTGTGGTTGTTGTTAAGTGCTGTTGAATCAATTCTGATTCATAGCAACCTTGTATAGGTTTTCCAAGGAGCAGCTGGTGGGTTTGAACCACCGATCTTGAGGTTTGAAGCTCAGTGCTTATCCTACAGCACCACACCAGGACACCATAACAACCCTGTAGGGGGTTCCGACTCACAGCAACTGTACGTTGGGTGTCCAAGGCTTTTAAATCTTTGCAAGAGCAGAAAGTCTCATCTTTCTGCCATGGAGGGGCTATTGGGCTTGAACTGTGGATCTTGTGGTTCACAGTCTAGTGCTTATAGGATGGAGCCACTGCTTGGGGAGAGGAAAAGCACACACAGTCTGCCTTGACTCATGAGGTTCTCAAATAGGAAAGCACAGGCTTTAACTAAGAAATGAGCTCTCACAGCTGGCTCTGGGAACTGCTGTGGTGAATGGAAAGCACCCAGTGACACCCAGGACACCTGTCACACCTGCCATGCCCTAGATCTGCCTCTGCTAAGGAGGACCTAGTCTCCAACTCCCCCCAAACCAACGGACCCACTACCCCGAGTCTATTCAGACTCATGGAGAGCCTAGAGGGCAGAGTAGAGCTGGCCCCTCAGGTTTCCAAAGCTGTAAATCTTCATGTAAGCAGATTGTCACACGTTCTCCTTTACCTTTCGTCACTATTGTAGTAAGAATGATGCTGTTAAAATTCAGCTCAGGTCATTTCACCCTTGTCCAAGATGGCGCAGTGTCT